CGTCAGTAGCCTTGGCCTTGGGCTGAGCCTTTTTTACTCTCTTTGGCTTTGGTGGGGGCATCGCATGCGTTGGTACAGCATCGGCGTCGGTTGGAAGGTCGGCAAGAGGATCTTGAACGACAGGCCTTGGATGAACCATCTCGGCAGTCTTTACAAGTTTTCGTCGACGTTTACGTTCTGGAATTGGTATTAAGTAGGGGGCCGAAGTGGATGGAAGATTGGCTGGGTCAGAGGTGGATCCTTGATCTGTTCGGGATGAAGACGCGGTTACAGTTGTGGCAGTTGGTGGGGAAAGACTCTTTTTCTTCTTTTTTGGGACGTCGGGTAATGTGGATTTGTATGTCGGAATGAAATTCAGCAACAAGGGAGCCTTGCGCTTGTGGATAGGAATACCAATAAGCTTCTTTAGGTCTTTTCCAGGGAAGAAGGATTGATGGAAGTTCTTTGGTGGCTGATGAATATCTGCAGGACAAGCAAACAGACATTAGAAACAGACAAAATTTTAAAGACTTAAATAAAAACAACTAAGTATTGGCACTGGGCTCTTACCCTTGCCCTCTTTAACTGATCGAGGAAGAGGGTAGAGATGGACATCTTCGTCTGGGCCAAATTCCCAATTTCCCGAAGCGATAACAAAGTCATCCCCAGCCCCCTTGTTGGAGTCTGGGAGGTCGGCTACAATTTTGAACTCGGTAGACCTCGGCTTAAGGTAATAAACAAAGCCCCTTTCCTTCAGGTTGAGGGGGCACATTGTATAACAGTACTGAAGGTCGGCCAGGGTGATCCTAAGATTCTCCTGCCTAGCTAAAGCTATAATACCGTTAATCACCCTATAGGAGTTGATGGTAAGTTGCATGGGGTTCAGCTTGTAGAAATAAAGAATTTCACGAAACAAAGGATCAAGTGGAAGCTGAAGTCCACATTCAGTAAAGGCAACTATAGGAAAGGGCATCGTATGGTCTGTGGGCATGATAGTATCATCATCCCCAGCTAGCTTAAGGTGAACATTGGCTGGGATAGAGAATTCCTGCCTAAAGTATTCAAGTTTTGTTGGGGAATTTACCCTATGCCTCCACATACCCATTACGTCGGCCTAAACAAAAAGGAGTGTGTTTCAGAAGATGGGCGTTTTAGAAGGATTGCAAAAACCTCAACAAAGGCCTAGGAAAGGACTGATAAGGCTTGTGTCGGTTTTTTCTAAAATTTGAAGGTTCTACGCACAAATCCCAAGCCTAAGAACTATAAAGATCAAGATTGAAGGCACAGATCTGGGACAGATACAAAAAAGAGAAAACAAAGACGAAGTTTCAGATTCAAGAATAAAGATGGACTATCAGAAACACGAAGAATACAAAGGGATAAAGGTCAAGAATTATGGCAACAAAAAAGTTGAAACAGTGCAAATGTTCAAAATATGAGAGAAATCGAGCAACAAAGCAGTAATGGTAAAAACACATAAAAAAAAATTGGGAGTAAAGGAAACAGGGCCTTACCAGAACAAATGAAGTCGGAAAGAACGACGTCGAGAAATGGTAACGATTGCAGGCACAACGAAACGGAGGAAACTTCGCTAAGGTGAAGGGACGAAAAATCGCAGAACTTCGAGTTAGAACAATGGCAGATTCGAAAGAGCTTTTGCAGAGAGAAAGAGTAAGAAATCAGAATGAAAAAGTGAAGAAAGAAAGAGGCAAGGAAAAGTTTTGTCAAAAACGTGAAACGGCGGCAAAAATAGGGCATTTATTACGCCTAGAGCAACGCACGCGTCAGACGGCATAGACAAATGACAGACAGCTTTCAGGCACGTCATAGACACGCTCCAATGAAGACAATACACGTGAAAAGAACGGTTAGATATGCATGACAGCTCATGTGCGTGGGAGAGTACGTTCGAAACCTTGTTCTCCGAAGAGAACACATCGGCTGGAAGTGGATTATCTCGGCTAAACAGTTTTTGAGCCATTATGCAGAAAGAAATATCAATATAGGTTCCATCATCTCAGAATGCAGAGGTAATAGAACCTAGGGGGCAGTTGTGGGGATATATTTTCTGAATACCAACACGTGGCATGGTGACGCCGACGTGTCAGCCGAGGTGCCACGTGTCCTGGTCGTGACGCCGAGATGATCTCGGC